CCACTTCTCAACCATGATGGCTCTGCTCCTCTCATTTCTAAGTATGGAAATAACATACGAGTTCTGTCGGCTAGTATTATACCACCTGCCTTATCAGGCCCCTTTAAAAAAATTCTTCATTGTACTACTACCCCAAAACAAAACAAAGCCTCATTTATTTCCTTTGTGTTTCTGGAAAAATGCTGGGAACTAACACTTTTAACACTACTCTTCCAGAATCATACCACTAATTGGTGGTATTGTTGCCCATGGTTTTGTGGCCTGTCTTTAATTGGGTCCTTGTCCTTTTAAATCTCAGCTGACCTCTGAGAGCATCACGAAAGGATGACAGCTTCTTTTAATGCCACAACTTCCTCCTTCAACACTGCACTGCCAGCTGTCCCTCCCTCCCATATTCCACATTTGAGGAGCTCCCATGCCACTGGGCTTTACTTGTTTACTGATTTTTCTAGATTCCTCTAATCCTTCCCCGAGTCTCCCTACCTGGAGGAAGGTGCTGAGGGTAAAACTCAGACACATTTGTGACATAGACTAGCTTCAAGTCACAAGTCAAATGGATGGAAATGGGGTCTAATGGGGACAGCAATGAATTCTCATGCTCTTTGCCTCAGTGCCATAAAACCGAGCTGCCTCTGAGAGACCGAGCTAGAAGCAGTTGCAGGTTGTCACCTCAAGTGATCTCCCCACTCAGGTCACCTTGCCATCTGCTTTGTCAGGTGACTCTGGGGAACTAGTTAAAGGATTGAGGAAACAAACCTCTCAAGCTGATGAATGTGAATCTTCCAAGAGCATTTCAAATGTACCAGTTAAACAGGTTGTGCTTTGCCCTCCAGGCTCCTCGCTTTGAGCTCACCTGCAGTGTTTGAGACGGAGGGGCTACCTGAACACACCCTCAACTCAACTTCAGCTCAGCTTCAACTCTGGTTGTGTTACTGTCCAAGGGGGGCACGTCTGCCCACCACAAGACATGCCACTAATCAGGAGGCAAGGTGGTAGGTGAGAAAGGGTTTTGTTACAGCTTGCTAGCAAGGGGGAAGTGGCTGATTCATATCCAAAGGAACCATCTTACAGAATAAAGACTACAGGCCAGTTATATAGGCGGCTGGTCTCCGGGTAGCAGCATCATCTGATCTCTGGCTGGGGGCAGACACCTGGTCTTAGTTCCTGATAGTCTTTTGTTTTACTGGACATGTGTCAGAGACCAGAGCAAGGCCCTATACCCAGATCTTTCAGTTGTCGTTGATGATGGCTATCAGCATAGACTCTGCCCAAGGGTCATCACATTCTTAAGGAACTCAAAAGAACAAGTTATCAACTTATAGCAGCTGGGAGGGGCCATAAAATCTACAGAGCACGTATACCTTCTTGAGGGCGCATATCCAGCTGGATTAATCAGGTCATTCAAAGTTACAATATGGTTTCTTTTCTACAATATGGCTTCCCTTATGTCAACCCTGTATTGAGCCAGTATCATTTGCAGGTCCCTTTCCCTGATCTGGCACCCAGAGATAGGTGCCTCTGCAGCCCTGGGTCCCAGCTGAGTGGGAAAGCACGCCTCACAGAGCCAACATCTGCCACTCTGCTTCTAACTGAGCCCTCAGAAACTCAGTTTTGAGTCTGAGGAATCAATTCCAATCCAGTAAAGTACTTAAAGCTCAATGGCTTTGATCTTTGCTTGGTAAAAGCCCTTACTGCTGAGTTCTAGAAGCTTTGCCATGCCACTTCCCCTTTATCTGTCCTCTTCCATACTGGCCCAGTAGCAAGGGCTTGCACAGTGCCAGAGCTTTCTCTCTGTGTTTGGAACCTACTTTCTGATGCCCAGAGTGTGCATGAAGGGTGGGGGTGGGAGGTGAGATGATTTAAGGGGAGAGAGGAGGGAAGTTGTTTAAAGGAAGAAGCAGAACAAGAACAGAATTAAAATGCATGTTCGTTATCTAAAAAGAAAGGCCTACCTTACATTTACCCCATATCTTAAAACTTTTTCCCAAAGGGCTTTGTAATGGGAAAAAGTGTAGAATGGCTCCAATTCAACCAAGGCACAGTTAAAATTCCTAACTTGGCCCACTCTGGGTGGAACAGGAAACACAGTGCTCTCTTTGCCGCTTTTACCCTTGTTGGTATGAGAGGAAAACAACATACATTTGAAAGCCATTGGACTTTCTTCTCACAGCTAGCATAAACCTTAAGCCAGCAAGCCCACTCTATCTTCTCGTTCATAGCACCTTATTTCAATGGATACAAATAATATTCTATACAATTTCATAATTATATATGCTAGGATATATTGGCCTTTAATGCAGTTATAGGATGTGTTGACCATTTCTATGACCTATTAAAAGTGCATTAAGGACATAATGAAGACCCTGTATTTTTGCAGGCTCTTAATTTTATAATGGACAAAGCACCAATAACTGAAATTGCATTAAAAAACAAACTTTCCCTTTGTTGGTCAAATTTTAGCAGTGGCTTTAACTTCTTCCATTTTAAAGCTTCTTTGAATCCTTTCCTGGCCCCACCCTTGAGATGGGGGATAACTGGCTAAAACTATAATATGAAAGGAAGGAGACATCAGAAGCAGCTAGATCATCAGATAATGGAAAGCTGACTTTGGGTGAGTTCTTTTTTTCTCCCTTCCTTTCTTAACTTGGGTAAATAACATTTCTACTTTAGATTATGTTCAATACCAAGAAAACAAGTATCATCATTTAAGTTATAAAAAGGAACCAAATTGTATGAAATCATATATAGCTTGGTACTACTATTAATATCCTAGAAAAAAATACAAGGAGTTTGGTATAAAAAAAAACCTAACCTGCTTTCCTCATCTACTAACATCCAAAGTTAAGTAAAACTTAACATAGGCAATTGACCACCTCTACTGAAATAGATACATATTCTCCAATTTATATATGTTGTGTCATAAAGTTCAAGGACACGTGGAAATTAAAATGCACTTCCCACAAAAGCATTGATATAAATGGTGGATCAAGGGTTCCAGATGGTTCAACAACTACAACAAAGACTTTTCAACAAAAAGTCTTTGAATTAGACTTCAGTAACACTATATTTAGTGAAGAGAATGCATTAAAATACTTATTACTCTATTATCAGAGATAAAAATTGCATAGGAAACAGAAGGACACATTACCAAATCTCAAACACGAGAGTTGATGATTAAAACAAAAAAACACCCGAAGACAACATCCCAAATACAGAAAATGTGGCCATCTTTACATTAAGATTGGATGAATTACCAGGGTAGGTCTTCCTGATGGAGAGGGGTCAAGGTGTGGCAGGGTCTTTCCTGTAAGTGACTGGTGAGAAAGACCCACTGCTTTGCCTCCTGAATCACTATCTCCGTTAGCATTAGCGGGACCAGTCAGGGGTCAGGCATTAAGGAAGGCTACCCATCCACTTCTGATGCCCCTTTCATGGCTCTCCTTCTCCCCAGCTATTGTCCATTGACTTGCAGATGGCACAGTATGAATCGTTTTAGCCCTTTCTCCCCATTTTGACATAAAATGCAAACGCCTGCTTTAGGTCTAAAACTGCGTGATCTTTGGTTAAATGTATAATCAAGCAACAAATGTAAACGAGTGATACCAGCTCCCTCATTTTTACGGACAAGAGGAAAATATTAGCCATCTGGAAAGGGATGGGGAAAGGGAAGGCGAGGGAATGGGTTTACAAGAGAAGGGAAAGGACACAGCAGGTGAAATTGAGGCTCTAGCTTGGTCTTAGTGTCAGCACATTCACACACAGGTGTGGAGGAGCTCCCTGACATGGAATTGAAAAGCATTTCTACTTCATATAACAAATGTGGTTTATGTGTTTGCGCTTTTACAACATAATTGGCTTACACTTGTTTAAAGGAGCTTCTTTACCAGGGACTCAGTCAAGGAACCTAATTCTACATTTAGGGAAAACAAGCATGCAACACACTAGGAGGAAGAAGTGCAAAGTTTCTTCCCATTTTCCTAGGCACAGCCCCAGTCTTAAAGAAAATTTCGAAACAAGCTATTTGGCTTTGGCTTACTCCTACTTGGTGTGCAAACACCCAGGGCCTTTGTGTGACCTTTAGCTACCTAGGGCTACCCAGTACCCAAAAGTGCCCTGTCTTAACACCTACCCATTCTCTCCTTTCTCACTTCTACCCTTATCAAAATTTCCTTTCTGGGGCTGGTCCTGGTGGCGCAGCAGTTAAGTTCGCGTGTTCCGCTTCAGCATCCTGGGGTTCGCAGGTTCGGATCCTGGGCACAGAGCGACGCCCGGCTTGTCAAACCATGCTGTGGCAGTGTCCCATATAAAGCAGAGGAAGATGGGCACAGATGTTAGCCCAGGGCCAATCTTCCTCAGCAAAAAAGAGGAGGACTGGCAACAGATATTAGCTCAGGGCTAATTTTCCTCACACAAAAAAACAAACTTCCTTTCTCTCAGAGACAGGGGTAGGGCTTCACTTAGTAGCAGAATCTCTTAAAATAATCAATAGTAAGGTAATATGTCAATGATCAGGTAGTGAACATCTCTCCTAGAGACCTATGTTTTAAGAAACAAAGCTTAAAATCTCGAATCTCTACCTGGTAGAATTTCATGTAAAATAACAGAAAAGTAAAAATCAAAGTCAGGCTGTAGGTATATGTTGGGAGATCGGGTTAACTTTCCAGGTAGCTCATACTGAGTGTGCATACAGTTCCTTTGGGCCATTTCTACCTTCCATGGCTTCCTCCCTTTATCTAAAGCTTAACCTAGAAACTCTCTAAGATACCAATGGTCATTCTGGAGATCCCTCCTCACTCACTCACCCAATGAAACAGGGGACCTTGCAGTGCGATGGGCAGAGGGAAATACCATATCATAGAGAACAAATGACACACCAGGTTGTAATGTCTCAAGATAAGAGGCTTACTTTCAACCTAATAATAGTACATTACTGTTCATAATATATATAATATATAGTTTAGGTAAATTATCATGTTATAAAAATATACAATAAAATCTTAAAAAAACTCTGAAATGACTGATGCTTGATAATTCTCTTAAGTAAACAGACTACAATAAAACCGTAGCTATTGGCTAAGTTTCATCAATTTTTTTTAATTTTCTTTGATTTTTTCTCCTGGTCTTCTGTTATCCTTTCTGCAGGTCGCTTCTTCAACCCCTTCATTTTCCTGGTTTGTAGTTTGCTCAGGTCCTGCTTCTGCATATGAATCCTTCCATAAGTTGTACCAAAAGTATCATGAGAGATATTTTTCTTCTTCTTTGGCTATGAAACAAGAATATATATATATTTAATGGTCTCTATTATCATGAACTGGTAAAAACCTAGTGTACAACAAATATCTTACTAACAATTTCCACTAGTGAGCAGCCCTTCAATGATATAAAGTCTATAGTCCTATAGACCTTTCTTCTCAAATTTAAGTGTACATACAAATCATTCGGGGATCTTGTTAAAATGCAGATTCTAATTCAGTAGGTCTAGGGTGGGACTTGAGATTCAGCATTTCTAACAATTCTCAGGTAAACTGTCGTCAGACCACACTTTGAGAAGCAACACTACAGAATACACAATACAACAATACAGAATACATAACCATTGTCATGCATCAAAAGAATTTCCTGTGTTTAGCTTAAGGAATTGTAACTATCGTTTTAATCTTTATTGGCATTCCAGAGACGTCATTTCTATGTTTTTTAAAACCATTCAAAAGTCAAAACACACTGTATGCAAGCATGAGTTACACATGTTGGGGTCTAAATCCCCTGTCTTCATAATGCCCAAAATGATTCTCTTTTTTGCTGAAAACTGGCAGTCTCAGCTACCAGAAAGCTCTCTGCCACACTTGAAGTCTAGTTTCTGCAACTCTTTTATTGTTGTTTATGGTTGGCTTATTTGCTTCTTCCTCCTTTTCTTGGCTCTGAAAGTCTAATTTTATCTATTTTATTGATCTCTTTTTCTATGTCCTCTAATGTAATATGCCACAAATCCTTTTTGGAAAGAAGAGTAGAATATACAAACAAATATGGCACCGATCTGCAAATTATGTACCTTGAGGGCTTTTGGCATTTTCATAGATAACTTATAAAGGTCATCTGATGCCAGATGTGTCCTCCTCAGAACCAGATCCAATGAGGGTCCCATCTCTTCCAATTCAATCCGTGGTGTTCTGCAACCAGATTTCTTCAACAGCAACCTTTATGAAACAGGAAAAAAGAAACGTTGCTTTCACTATGATGAAAGTCCTTATCCCCTCCAAATATTTTTGTTCAAGAGGATTGCAGTTCCATAAAATAACATAAAATCTTCAGAAAAGCTAAGCTTCTTAAATACTTTATACATTTAGAGCAAGTGTGTTCTTTGGTTCGCTTATTTTTAAAAATCAAAAATAAAAGTATACAACATTGTTGAGAAACAGCAAGTGAGGCAGATAATTCATCTAAGAAATGGAATCCTTTGATTTGACTTCTTCATCTTACATAAGATTTACGTAAGTATAAAAATAATTTTAATTGGGCCTTTGAAACATGTTTATATGATTAACGAATTCTTGTTTCTCTAAGACTCATTCAAAATCAACTTTTCTCCATAGTACATACATTTACTGATCTCTATAGATTGGAAGGAACTTTAAAATCACAAAACCACAACTTTCTGGATACCATATGTCCACAGAGCTCTGGATCTGGAAACATACGAGGGACAGAGTGGGGAGGAGGGGAGACTGGGAAATTCTTTTTGTGAGTGATACCACAAGAAGAGCTGAAAGACCTGAAGATTATTTGCGCTGCAAGACTCAGTTTGTTACAGTGGGCAGATCTCCCCATGGAAAAAAAGAACTGACTGAATAACAATATTTATAAAAGATCAGACTTTTCACACAAAAGCTGGAGTGTGAGAAAGGAAACAGGTGACATGAAAAGAAGAGAAAGAACAAAAGAGGAAAGCACAGTAGGGAATATTGGAGAGAGCAGCAAACACAAGGAAGAAGTGAGTGTGCACAAGCTTATTAACAGCGCTTTGGGCCATAAGTGCATCATGCGCACACAGCCAACCAATACAGTCCACCCACGGGAAGGGCATTTACCAACTGCAAGAAGAGCCACAGTGACAGATATGCTGTATCGGACACAGTAATTTATCCCCAATGGGACAAGGCCAAAAAACAGCACAGGATGTGTAAAGGGCAGAAGCGTTAAACAAACAAAGAAACTATACTGACATTAAAAGATAAAATGAATATTAGTATGGGACTTGAAGGGAGCAAGCACAGGGAAAAAGAGCCTGAAGGAGAGCCCTTCGGCTACTTTCCTCATAGCGGTTCCAGGAGAAGAGACCTAAAAGAATGCCTGTCTCACGCTCACTGTGGGGGAAAACATTTTTAGCAGCTCAAGTTGGCTGGTTCAGGGCATCACCCCTAAGAGCTAATTCAAAGCACAGAGGGGCAGTGACAATTTGACTATCGTATCACACATACTTCTGCATTTGCATCCACATTTGCAGTACCTCCAAATAAATGATATTTATAATGCTGAACTCATATCAAGATTAATATCTTGATGAACACAAAATGCTTATTTTCAGCTAAATGGAAAACTTGGTGATCCAGAACAACTCATGGCATGCCTGATGGATTCAGATCACCCAAGTACCACTGGATATGGCAAAACTCCGCTAAAGCATCTTTTTTATTTATATAGGTGTCCTAAGAAAGTAATTTTTTGAGTGGCATGTATAAGATTATCTCCGAATAACCACATATGTTGCTATTTATCGAACAATTAAGCTACAGTGCCATACTGTCTGTGTAAATGATCTTAATCACTTCACTGAGTATGCTTCCTGACAGATCCAATTGATAGAAATAGAAGGAAACCTTCTCCAGTCTTCAGTTCTCCACATATGGCTTCTGGCGATAGGCCTATCATCCCTTCTCTTTCGTAAGCTTTTAAACAGTGAAATCTAGAATCTAAAATTATCAATTGTAATCCTTGAAAAAACAATCTGTTTACTCTTTCTCAGAGGAAAGGTATTAATAGAGAATTTACAAGAAATTTTTGTAATCACACTAAGCAGAATGAAGAGACTATTAGACATTGACTGACTAAAAACAAAATTAAAACCATTTCCATCACTTCATCCCATTATACGCGCTGCACTTTTTTTTTTAAAGATAGACATTTCCGGGCCGGCCCCGTGGCTTAGCGGTTAAGTGCACGCGCTCTGCTCCTGGCGGCCCGAGTTCGGATCCCGGGCGTGCACCAACACACCGCTTCTCCGGCCATGCTGAGGCCGCGTCCCACATACAGCAACTAGAAGGATGTGCAGCTATGACATACAACTATCTACTGGGGCTTAGGGGGGAAAAAATAAATAAATAAAATTATTAAAAAAAAAAAAAAAAGATAGACATTTCCATTCTAGGCCTTCACATCTCCAACCAAATATCTACTGCCCAGAACTTTTACATCATATGCCTCATCTGCATCTAAGATCCTCAGTTTTCCCTACCAGCTCTAAACCAAAAGCGACATTCAGTCTGTAAGACGCTGGTACAAGATGCAGGGACACAAAGACAAAGAGAGCCTGGCTCCTTCCCTCTCAGATGGGCTCAGGCTATTAAACATGTTAATTGACAATTTCCATACATTTTAAATATTATTTGTCTATTTCTTGAGCAAGACTGGCATTACCACTCTTGTTCAAATTACAATTTCCTTATTTTCCCTCTTTCACATCCCTCTCTTCTGCTGACACTCCGTTTTCAGTACCTAAACTCTTTCCCTAGAACGTTGTGTTTGCTTTTTAAAAGTACACTAACACTTCCTGTTTTGCATATTTCTCCCCATAAAACCTAACCAGTGCCATGGCAAAGGCAAACATGGCAGTTACTGAAGCTTTTTCTGTTTCATATTAATGGCTCTGGCCCTACAGTGAATAAAATTCTCCAAGGAATACAAATTGTCACTCATGTATAAGGAATTAATTATTATAGGATATGCAGGAAGAGGTCAGTAACACTGTGATTTATTTCCCCAAAAGATTAGGTCAAAGGTTATATGAATATAATTTCATGTTCAGAGTTCCTTTCATCCAAACAGCTCAAAACCATTTTATAAGCCTTACTAATCTTCACAAATAATGTGTGTGAATATTAACTATTACCTTTTACCAATTGCTTAAGGGCTGGTTTGCAGTAACAGAAAGAGGGCGGGACACCACGGTGCAGCCTGCAAGAAGGCCTGAGGAGCCGTGCTACGTCAGACACACTTCTGTCATATTCCCACCTTTATCCGCACCCCTTTCCCTCCTACAAAGGAGGACTATCAATTTCAGAGGGACCTCAGAATTACCTAAATGGTATCACTACACTTTATAAGTGAAAAACGGAGGCCCTGAGACATGCCCGGCCCATGTCATGTTGCTGAGCCCAGCCCAGAGACAAGTCACTAGGCTCAGAGGTGATGCTCATTCCTGGGACCACCTCTTTCTTCCCCTCCCAACTGTGGCATTAACCCCTGGAGGTTAAGCCGATCCACACGTTTAGTGACTTTCCCAGTAGCAGCTCGCTCTCAATCACACTGTCCATTTTCTATTTCAGATCAATAGCTAACAGGCATTACAGGGCATATATGAAATACCTGGGATTAAAATTTTACACTGTGGTCTCTGATTTGAAAAATTCCAACATTTTTTTTCCATTATGGGAGCTGCCTGGCAAACCTAACAGTGATTCCAGCAATTATATTCTTCTTAAAGTAAGTGGATGGGTGGATATATATATAGTTATACTGCTCATTTATCCTTCCTCTAAAGTCTAATTTGCTAATTTTCTGTCCAATCTATTTTCTATGCATCTCTTTCTTTACAAATTAATCTCTTTTCACTAAATACAAGTTCTGATACAAATGAATACTTTCTTTGAAATTGTTCACCACAAAAGAGTTTTAAGTTACTGTTATTATTCATTTCTCATTCTCAAAGATTGTTACCTTTATATTTTTACCTCCTTTATATCCCCAGGGTCTCCCTGTTTACAAGTTTTCAAAAAGATTTTTATGTTAGTGATTTTTCATCTTTTATTTCTTGTTCAATAAATAGGAGTAACCAACTTTATAATATAACATATTTTTTTTTTTTTGCCGAGGCAGAGTCCTCCTGAGCTAACATCTGTTGTCAATCTTCCTCTTTTTTTTTTGCTTGAGGAAGATTCACCCTGAGCTAACATCTGTGCCAATCTTCCTCTATTTTGTATGTGGGTCGCTGCCACAGCATGGCCACCAAAGGGTGATGTAGGTCTGCACCCAGGGAACCAAACCTGGGCTGCCAAAGCGGAGCACGCTGAACTTCACCACTAGGCCACAGGGCCAGCCCCTATGATATATTCTTAAAATCCCCAAAATCAAGTTTGGAAATTCAAACAACAGACTTAAGGGGCTTTCAATCTCAACTAGCTAAAAATAATGTTAAAATCCCTAATTACATCCTGCAATCATGTGGATATTTTATTATATTTTACCTTACTATTATTATTTAAACAAGAAGAAAATAGAAAAACAAAAGTGGTGGTACTAATCATATGGTGAAGAGAACTAAACATCTCTGACTCAATACAGTTGAGACAAAGATGGAAACTATTGACAAAAGAGGTGAATATTTAGTTTCATTTGGATATCTCACTGGACATAAGCCAGTCAACCACATATTCCATTGTGAAGAAAAAACAAAATTAAAAACCATGAATGCAACGCTGAAGTCCACAAATGGTCACACAAACAGCACTATTGCACAGAAGACACTGTCAACACTGAGCTGTTGGCTGCACTGTCATGCCACAGCTCAAAATGGACATCAGTCTGAATTCAATGCACAAAGGAAGGTGGTTTGTGGGGAGTCAATGTATTCTCTAGGAAAGTGTGGGCTCTATCAGCCAGTGCCAATACTTTATTTTAATTAAGAAAAAAAAAGTCAAGCATACAGCAATATTGTAATAACTTCATATGATGACAGATGGTTACTAGTCTTATCAGAGCGATCATTTTGTAATGTAAATAAATGTTGAAACATTATATGGTACACCTGAAACTAATACAATGTTGTATGTCAACTCTACTTCAATTAAAAAAAGAAAAAAGTCATGCTTACCTCAAAAGGCCCAACTGTAGCATATCATTAAGCTTTTTAATGTAAACAAAATCAGCTTGTTAGGATTTATATTTATATTGTGTAGGGCTAGAAAGCCTACACAAGAGAAAGAGGATAAAATGAATCTAGCTACTGAATCTTCTTATTCCTTCCAGACTCCATGTTTTAGACTCAGGGTTTTGAGATTTGCTTTGTCTGGACTAAGACTTGTGGCTTGGTGCTCTAAATCCAGTCAAGAAAAAATAAGGAGATACTGCATAAAAGTAGGGAGGGTCAAGACTGAACTAGTGTTTTAAGCTCAGAGGGAGTGTAGCGTTAGATGCTCCGGGGCCCTGGAAGAGTGGAGTTTCAGAGGCAGAAGTTGGCAGGGGAATGACAGACCTGAGGATCAGCACGGAGCTGCCATGCCACTGCCATTCTGCACTCTCCAAACTTTTGGCCAGACAGGAATTCTAAGTTTGAGGCCCATAAAACAGTCACACTAAAATGCTAACCTTGAGGATTAACAAAAACACGCTAAGAAACGCACTTACTTATAGCTTCGAAAGTAAATCTTCCCATTCAGTGCGGTGAAGTGCAGAACATACTCTAAACCAGCCAGGCGGATATTTGATACTGTGGGGCCTCTGAAGAAATCTAAAAGTACATATTAGGTTGTTAAAAAAAAAAACTAACACTTTTAAGAGTCAGTTACAAAGAAATGCATTCTAAATGCTCTGTTTTGTACCAATACTTATCTAAAAAGACAGGTAGCACAAAAACTGATCCCTAAAAAATGTCTGGCGATCCCACCTTCTACCATTTAATCTCATGACTTTGTTTCGGTGTTTTGGTCACTGAGCCCTGGAATTTTTCGGTTTTGAAGTTCTTCCTCTAAGGCAATGCTCAGCATAGGAGTGTATCATATTTATCATGGACGTTAACTTTTTAAAAAATGTCAATCAAGGCATAAAATTTTAATCTGTAAGACAGGTAGGTTAAGATGGCAAATTTCTATAAAAATGGCTGTTCAAACTTTGACTATTAAACTGGCCTTTGTTTTACGGCAGAGGCCAACAAGCAAGAAAATTCTAACAAGAAATGTCAATTATATGAGCAAAAAATAACTAAACTGTTAAACCAGAAAAGAACCATCAAGATCAATGAGTAGGGGGCCGGCCCCGTGGCTTGGTGGTTAAGTGAGCGCGCTCCACTGCTGGCGACCCGGGTTCGGATCCCGGGCTCACACCGACGCGCTGCTTCTCTGGCCATGCTGAGGCCACGTCCCACATACAGCAACTAGAAGGATGTGCAGCTATGACACACAACTATCTTCTGGGGGTTTGGGGGGAAAAAATAAAAAAAAAAAAAAAATTTTAAAAAAAAAAAAAAAAAAAAAAAGATCAATGAGTAGGCTGTCTTTCTACAGTGTGGTAAACATACCATTGGTGGCACGTGAGATGATTTTAAATATATACAGATATAATTTATTATGTATTATTTACTTTATTGTATATCATTTTCCAGTGATGTAGTGACATAAAGTTTCCTTTTAAAAAGAGGAGTCAATTTAAAGAAAAATCTCCAGTGAACAACACTATGGATACTACATGACTTGGCTAAAGCTATGAAGGTGGCACAAGAATGAAAGAAGTTTGGAAAACAGCAATCAAGTTTGGTCCCCTCATTTTACAGCTAAGATTGAACCCTGAGGAGGCTAAACGGAAATATACAAATGACATTTAGCAAAGAAAAAGTTATACATAAAAGTTTATCCAACTCAATTACTTAAGAAGAGCTGCCCCAAGGCAGGTGACATAGTAAACAGGAAATTTCATTGTGTCCCAATCTGTAGCCACTCAGCATTTTTCCTCCTTCTTCCCATCAGCTCATAAAATGGGAATTATCTCCATGTGCACGGATAAATACATCTTTTGTTGTTTGCTTTTTCTTTCTCGTGGTTAACCTCCCCCACAAAAAAATCACAGCACTAACATGCATAAAATGGACACGAGTGTGTGTGCACATGTATACACCACACTTCCCCATTCCTCCAACAAAAATCCCACATGGATATTTGTATAAACCAAGTATGTATCTTTTCAAGGTATTTTGATGTAAATTTTGATCCTTATTAATAAAGAGCTTTCCCATGATTCTGCCAAAATCTGACTCTTCTTCAGTGGCCAAGTTAATAAAGCCCCGTTCACTGTTGTGGTAGCGTTAGTGAAGTCACAGTCATTCTGGCGAACAAGATATGTACATTCCGGTTTCCCCTAAAACAGCTTTTGTCATGCAAGCCTCACAGGCATATGTGCTTTTCCCATAAGCTTTTAAGAATGAAAAGGAAAGGAAAAAAAAAAAATGAAATGAAGGTAGAAAGTTTTAAGAACATTGATCCTTACCTCACACCATACACAAAAATTAACTCAAAATGGATCTTAAACCTAAATGTAAAACCTAAAATTGCAACACTTTGAGAAGATATAAGAGAAAAATCTTTCAGATCTTGAGATAAGCAAAGGTTTCTTAAACAAAACACAGTAAGAACATACCATTAGAGAAAAAAATGGGTAAAACAGACTTCACACAAAAATTAAAAACATCTGCTCTTTGAAAGACATCATTAAAACAAAAAGGCAAGCCACAGACTAAGAGAAAATATTCAAAAATTATATATCAGACAAAGAGACAAAGGACTTATCTCACACACACACACACACACACACACACACCCCTACTTTATTACTCCATAATAAGACAACCCCCCCCAAAAAAATCAGGCAAAGATTTGAACCAAAGATATATGAATGGCCAACAAACACATGAAATGATGTTCATCATTAGTCATCAGAAAATGCAAATTAGGGCCTGCCCCGTGGCATAGCGGTTAGGTACGTGCGCTCAGCTGCTGGCGCCCCAGGGTTCGGATCCTGGGCTTGCACCTACGCACCGCTTGTCGGGCCATGCTGTGGCGGTGTCCCACATAAAATGGAGGAAGATCGGCATGGATGTTAGCTCAGGGCCAGTCTTTCTCAGCAAAAAGAGGAGGATTGGCGTGGATGTTAGCTCAGGGCTGATCTTCCTCACAAGAAAAAAAAAAGAAGAAGAAGAAGAAAATTCAAATTAAAACTGCAATGATACCACTACTTTGTTTTGTAGATTTGACTTTGGAAACACATTACTATCAGCATACAACTCCCATCAGAATAACTAAAATTAAAAAGAACAGTCTACCAAGTACTGGCAAGGAGGCAGAGCAACTGGAGCTCTCATACACTCTTGGTGGGAATGTAAAACGGTACAACCATGTTGGAAAATAGTTTGGCAGTTTCTTAAAATGTTGAATGTACACTACTCATATGACCCAATCATTCCATTCCCAGGCATTTACCCAAAAGAAATGAGAACATATGCCCTCACAAAAATTTGCATATAAATGTTCACAGAAGCTCTACTGATAACAGTCAAAAGCTGGAATCAACCTAAATGTCCATCAACACATGAAGGGATAAACAAACTGTGGAATACCTATAAATGGAATACTGCTTGGCAACAAAAAGAAACGAACTATTGATACAAACAATGACATGGATGAACATCAAAACAAATTCAGTGAAAGAAGCCAAGCCAGGTAGGATTCTATTTACCAAAAATTCTAGAAAATGCAAACTAATCCATAATGACAGAAAGCAGATCAATGTTTGCTTAGAATAGAGAAAAGGGAGAGATTGCCAAGGGGCACGGGGAAATTTTGGGGGGCGATGGCAAGTGTCTGTATCTTAATTGCAGTGGTGTTTTCAGAGGTGTATACATATGCCAAAATCCATTAAATTTTAGAACTTTAAATATGTGCATTTGATTGTATGTAAATTATACCTCAAAAGTTGTTTAAAAATAATTTAAAACGAAGAAAATTTAAAAGTAATCCCTAAAAATTGAAAACAAAATGAAATGAACCTGTGTATTGAGATTGAGCTGGAGGCATTATCATACAGAAAAGAACTCTTCAAGCGACTTCAAAACATAGAAAACTGACCCTATATTCCTAATAAGATATATCTTATAGACAAACGGAACTACAAAAAAACAACCTTCAACTGCATAAGATCAGTATAATATTGGATTGGTATTTTATTCTGAGACTATTATATGTATAGTACAGTATTAAGTAAATGCATAATTATTTTGGAGTCATTGAGAATCTGGATTTTTGTCATGGATGAAAGAAGGTACATATGTGAGGTCAATGAAGCTAAGTGAAGATCCTTTTTGCCCTAAATTTGAGTTAGAAGTTTTAGTATGAACTCAAGACGTATTTTATCTTAACAAACAAACATATTTCATAGTTTTGTCCACTACAAAGCTTAAAAACAATGACCAACCCAGAAAAAATCCCTAGCACCCAGACTGTGATTTCTAAAATAATCTCTCACTTACAAAAAACCCAAGGCTCCTTAGAGAAACAGCTGATTCCAGGACTGAGGAAATCAAAGTACAAGAGGAGTCTGAAATATCAAAGGAGTGACGGATTAAAATGTGTCAAAACTCAGAATACTGCCCAAAAGTCTGACCCTAAAATGGGCAGGAATGATGGTTGAGGTAAAAAGGGAGATATTATGAGTATAGGGATAAGGATAAAAACCCAGTTAAAGAGAAGTAAGGGGGTGGAAGAGGCAGAAGACAAATTGACTACAGTCAAAAGGAAAGCCCCAGTTTGGACTTTTCAGTGGATCAAATCCAAGCAAAGATAAGATCTCAAGTGTGGCTGTCTCCATGAGTAAATACATTGGGAAAGGGCACAGGAGGTTGACCACGGTGCTGATGGGAAAGACCAGGGGATCTAGAGTCAGAGAATAGACAAGATCCTGATTCTGCCACTTACTAGCTCTTCACTCTAGACAAGTAACTTAACTAGTCTCAATTTCTTCATCCACAACATGGGAATAACATTACCATAATGAACTGAATGTTTGTGTTCCTAAAATTCATATGTTAAAGCCCTAACCCCTAGTGTGGCTTTATTTGGAGATGGGGCCTCTGAGGAAGTAATTAAGGTTAAATGAGGTATGTCATAAGGGTGGGGCCCTGATCCCACAGGATTAGTGACCTTATAAGAAGAGACACTAGAAAGCTGACACCCTCTCTCCTCTGTGTCTCTCTCCCTCCCTTCCTCCCCTGCACATACATGGAGGAAAAGTCATGTGAGCACACAGCAAGAAGCCAACAAGAGTCCTCACCAGAAATTTTGATCTTGGACTTCTAGGCACCAGAATTGTGAGAAAATAAACTTCTGAAGTTTAAGCCACCCAGTCTATGGTATCTTGCTATGGTAGCCTGAGAACATTACTACAATTATCTTTGTAGGGCTGTAGAAAGGGTATTAAATTTAATAAATTACCTGACCTGGTCTATGGTAGTTGTTTTCATTATTACATATTTTTCAAGTGGAATAAGAATTAGGAGATGAGAAAGGTTAAAAAAATTAAAACAGTGACCACGGATGTAGATAAGGGCAATGAAGAAAAAGTAACCCAGTAAGGTAGTTAAATTTACGGTAGGCCTTAAAGGAACATTTAATAAAACTAACCTTTTACTTGACTTACTATCATCTTTAGAATGAACAGTCATATAAAAAAGTAGCCCTAAAAATTAGGATGCACTGAACCTAAAAATAGTTATTTACCGGTTTCCTATAAAGAAAAGCAGGACCCACTAAGATTAGCTACAAAACTATACAATATTTAAGAAAACAAAACAGAAGCAAAATTCAGAACGAACAAAGTGAGTACCTGGCATGAAAATACCGAAGTTAAGAAAGTAACTTTTCCTTCTGGCCAATTACAAAAAAAAAAAAGAACTTCCTAGAAGGAAGAAAGTCCTTGATAAAATTCTCTTTCCCTACTGCTATACTTTATTCCATCTGAACACACAACATAAACCAAGAAGTCTGCAGCTGTCTTACTTCATACTTATATTAAAAACTCAACTTCCCTTGGTGCCCCACAATCTCACTCCACTCCTCTACGTTTCTTTTTTTTTCTTTCCACAGATTCCTTTTTGGTTTTCGCTCCCACTCCCTCATTGCTGCATTATGTGGTCATTCCTGCCACCTAGTGGAAGCAGAAAATAATATAATAAAGTTTTTACGAAAACCATTTAAACCAAAGCCCTCTCTGTTATAACAAATTACAGTATAAGTACTCCCCTCACTGACAAATAATAACTATAGGGAAGAACTAGGGGGAAAAAGGCAGGAAATCTGGGCCAATGGAATACAAGTAACAGCAATCTTAGCTGTTTTGAAAAACACCCCTGATACTTCAGGGTATGTAATAGTGGAAGAAGGAAATGTTGGTCATTGTCTTTCATGTATGAATTTTTTTTTTAATTCATGAAAAGTACAGGTAAGAACCTATAGCAAAGACTTAGAAAGGGAATTGTTCACCATGGGGAAGATGAACAGCAGAGGCAGAAATGCTCAGGCTTTGGATTTCGATTCTGACTCACCTACTTAACAGCTCTTAACCTCTCTGACCCTCCATTTCCCCATCTGTAAAATGGAATGTCACCAAACTCAAGAGCTTTAGTAAGTATTAAACAGGTAACAGTGGTACTCAGTTTTTTAAAAAACAGCCATTATTAATAAGAGAAATGAGAAGTTCTGAAAATTGTAATCCCAACAATAAGACCATAAGTAATCCCAATATCCAGCCCTGGTGATCTAGTGGTTAAGATTCGGCACTTTTACTGCCGTGGCCTGGGTTCACTTCTTGGTCAGGGAACCACACCACCAGTCTGTTGGTTGCTATGCTGTGGTGGCTGCATGTTGCTGTGATGCTGAAAGCTATGCCACCGGTATTTCAAATAGCAGGAGAGAGGTGGACAGGTTTCAGTGGAGCTTACAGACTAGACAAACTAGGAAGAAGGACGTGGCCACCCACTTCCAAAAAAAATTGGTCATGAAAACCCTATGAATAGTATTGGCTGACACAGCACCAGAAGGTGAGAGGATGGCACAAAAAGAGCGGGTAGCATTCTACTCTGCTGTTTACAGAGTCACTAGGAGTCAGAATCCACTCAATGGTACTAACAACAAAATCCCAATTAAGGAAAAACGAAAGCAAGGAGTCTGCCCACAAACCTTTTTTGGTCAGCTCAGATTTGTAAAGAGCATGTAAATAATTTAATTTATTTATAACATATACTCCACCGACTTTTCAAAAGTGATCTAGGGCAATGTATATAAAAATCTCAAAGAAGGGCAACCAAAAAAGTGTGGCATAGCTTGTAAAAATGGTGCAAGAAAAGTTCAAATGGAATAGATTACTTAAACTTGAGAAAATGCTACTGAGTATCACAAGACTTCACATCTCTAGGGACAAACTAAATTACTTTCCAGAGGTAGAAAAGAGCTGGCAGATGTGATCACAGACTATTAAGCATTAGTAACCTTTAAGAAATCATGGAGAACAAAAATGCCAGCTTTTCAAAAAAGAGGAGAAAAAAGGGTTTAAAACTAGTAATTTAATGTCAATCCCAGACAATGACAATAACTGTAGACTGGATTTTAAGAAGGTGACTTGTGAACATACAGGCAAGGATGTAGTCATTACATAAATCATTAGGAACCAGCATAGTTCATTAAGAATAATTCATCTATAAAACAACCTTACAAGGTTATTATGAAAATGAAGCAATATATATAAAGTACCTAGTACATGCCTGGCACTTAGAATGATGAATATAATGAAATGAAAGAAGCTGGGGAGGTCATTGAGGGTTTCCTGGGAAAGAAACTTGATCTGAAACTTGCAAGAACCAAAGAAACCAGATAAATAAGAATGAAATCAGGTGGGCCGGTCCCGTGGCTTAGCAGTTAAGTGTGCGTGCTCCACTGCTGGCGGCCCAGGTTCGGATCCCGGGCGCGTCACGCGCCGCTTCTACGGCCATGCTGAGGCCGCGTCCCGCGTACAGTGACTGGAAGGATGTGCAGCTATGACATACAACTATCTACTGGGGTTTTGGGGGAAAAAATAAATAAATAAATAAAATTATAAAAAAAAAAAGAAAGAAAAGACAATAGGAATGGGCATAGTATATTTTCAACAAACCACTTTTTTAATGGAAAAGGGATGAAGGAAATTAGGGGAGATCAAGAAAGCAGGGGCTGGCTCCGTGGCATAGTGATTATGTGTGGGCGCTCCGCTGCTGGCAGCCCAGGTTCGGATCCCGGGCACGCACCGATGCACTGCTTGTCAGGCCATGCTGTGGCGGTGTCCCATATAAAGTAGAGGAAGATGGGCACAGATGTTAGCCCAGGGCCAGTCTTCCTCAGCAAAAAGAGGAGGGTTGGCACGGATGTTAGCGCAGGGCTGATCGTCCTCATTAAATAAATAAATAAATAAATAAATAAATAAATAAATAAAAGCAAGTTATATGGGGTTATGACGTGAAAAGCCTTATATATCAGACTAAGAAAAACAACAGAGGTTTTTGAGTTGGAAGTGGGTGATGTATAACAATCTTGAAAATTTAACTTTTCAATTTTCTAAATTAAATTTAATGATAATAATGACAGGAGATGGGTGCAAGCATCTTATAAAGTGTAAAATGCTATATAAATAGGTTGATACCACAGTTACTAAAAATAAATAATGATCTATAAAATATAACATCCCTTTAACTCTCCCCTGCTGCTAGTGGGGAATAAAGAAAATAATGAAAAGGAAAAAAAGAAAAGAGATCAGAGAGAAAAAGGAGAAAGAAAAAGCTGTACACCTAGAGTGAAGTGGCAAAGCGCCCCAATGACAGTCTTAGATTGTCCACCTGAACTCCCCCTGCAGATAGTAAGTATTAACATACTCACCAATAAGAAGACTTTTAAGCCTTCTGTAGTCTTCTGTTACATCAAAATCATCACCAGCAAATATTAACATAGGTTTTGTTCCCTCAGGACATTTGCTATTCTGTGAAATGAAAAAAAATTGTAATTATATAATTATCAAGTCTAAACCGTTAATATGCTGATTTTAAAATACAGTGATTTGTTTTCACATTTTCTTAACTGTCCTAAAACTATGTCTATGAATACTAATTTTAGACTAAAAAACAGAGTTTGGATTTTTAAACTTACAGATTTTTATACTAAAAAATAATTTTTTGTTCCACTCCCTCACACTGCCAAAGTAATAAGTGGTTGAATGATGTAAACTACTTCTTAACATTATTCAATGCAAAGAATAAATAAAAAGCTAAACCTGCTACAAAACAAACATGGCCCTCTAATAGCCAGCATCCCAGAGTCAAAATAAATTTAATTTCTTTGAATTATTTGCACCATTGTGCCTTTCCTACTATAAACTAAACTAGGAACTAAACATGCACACGGAAGCAATATAATTTTATACAAGCTAGAAAAAGTGTGGGCAATCCTCACCCAGCAGGGTTGAAGTTTACTATATTATTTTGTCCAGTTCTGGATTTTCTATACCAATAAGAATGTGATATGAGTTATAAGAGGACTTAAAAGCCACCAAAGTGGAAGAAGAAAAAAATCAAACAGAAAAAATTCTTTAACTGAAGGACTGATTTATGGAGGATGGTGAATGGTTGCTGGTCTGAGCTTCCCATTGATTCTAGTACCTCTGCTCTGACATCAATCAAGCATTATCCAAACCTAGCAAAAAAATCCAGAAAAACAAGACAAAAAAACAAATATCCTCTGCCCTAGGACAAGAGGTCGCCTGTTGTTTCCCTGTTCACCATGACCACTCTTGTTGACATTCTCTGCTTCCAAACCCCACACTTTAACTGTCTATACTTACGAGATGTGCCTACGATCTGTCTGTCTGATTGAGGGCCTAAATGGACATTGGAGACCCAATGACTCTTCCATGTTCCATCTGTGCCTGCCTGACCCTCCACTGCTACTCCTAGGTCTATGGGGGCTATTTAAGTAGACAGGAGGTAAGAGAAAGTGAGGCAACATCAACTACAACTTTGGCTTTCGAACCATCCTGACCACAATGCACAGTAATAAAAAATATTACCTTAAATCATGACCCAGTATACACATCATAAAAATATAACTAAACAAGTTATGTGACACAGTACTTAACATGTAGATCACTGACATTTTTCTCAACGTGAAGACCCTGAACTAGAAGAAACCACAAGAGATGAGTTTTATTCAAGTAGTCTGAAAGGCACTAAACATTCAAAATATATAAATACTGTGATACAGTATACTAAAAACACTATAATTATGCGAAGTCCTTGAACTAACTTGTTTTTTTTCTTTTTGTGAGGAAGATCAGCCGGCAGCTAACATCCCATGCCAATCCTCCTCTTTTTGCTGAGCAAGATTGGCCCTGGGCTAACACCCGTGCCCATCTTCCTCTACTTTAGATGGGACGCCGCCACAGCATGACAAGCGGTGCATCGGTGCGCGACGGGGATCCGAACCTGCGAACCCCGGGCCACCGAAGCGGAGCGCGTGCACTTAACCACTACGCCCCTGAACTAACTTTTTGAATTAAGTTTTTTTAAACAAAGAACAAGAAGGAAATAATTCTTATAAATTATATACAAACTTTTCAAATAAGATATCCCCAGGCAGTTGCAATGTATTTCATCCTATTAAAATAAAATCAACTAGCCTTAAATTTTCATCATCTCATTCATTAAGGCTTATTTTATGTAGAATAACCATCCCTAGAAGTTTGGCTATCTTAGAAAATAGGCTCCTAAAATAATCACTCAACTTCCCTGTTAGAGGCTAATCACCTGTTGCTTAAGAATTAACAGAGGGATGATGCTTGGCAACCAAAATAAGCAAGTGAGAAAAGAAATACCTGGTGAAGATGTCTTAAAAAAGAGGAGGTAGAATTGAAGAAGAAATAAATATAAAAGGAAAGTGTAACAAAACATACACTTTGCAAGTCCAAAACATACTACAAATATAAGCTTGTAACCAAATAATGGGGTAAAAAGTGAAAGACTAGCTAACAGTCTATGTTGGGATTGCCAATGTAAGCATATTCTCATCAATTAATGAATTTTATAGTTATGGATATGCTCCATCAGTGAATATTTAGTATTCAGTTTAAACAGTTCTTGAATGAGACCTGACAAACAATAATGGTTCTGTGGTCCAGTTTCGAAGCTACACAGTGATGGAAGTATTTCTTTGCTTAAAAGTGGAGAGTAGAGGGGTTGGCACACATGCATCAGCCAGCGCTCATGCCCACTAACTGGTGACCAAGCTAGGAGCAGTGGTAAAGGTAAAATGGGGATCTGCTGCTTATCTCCAAGGATTTGTGCATGGCCCCAAAGAGAAACTGTAATATAATGATGGACGGATTCCACCATAATAAAGCATCACAGCTTACACACTTTTTACAAAACACCTTCCAATATATTATATTCACTGATAAGCATTTTCACATATCTCATTTGATGTAGTTTTACTTATTTAATATTTGATTGTAACTGAGAGTCAGGGAAGTAACTGACTTGTCAAGTCACAAACGTCACCTAATTTCCCAAGACAGGCCTCTAAGTGTTCTGCCTCTAAATCCAATCTCAGGCACCATTCTACCTTGTACCTGAGGAAGCTGGTACAAGTCAGTGTAGCTGACTAAGTGGGGATCTGATAAGAGCCTTTTTTCAAACCTACAGGAAACCTGGAAGGCATGTCCTCTTCTTAGGGAAAGGCTTAGAAAAGGAGGGATTATATGTTTGCTATAATTCTTTCAACTATACCATGAGCCTCAACAATCCATAAACTCAGAAGTTACATAACTTTCCATTATAAACTTCAATCTCCCTTCTTTCCAAGTCTGAGTCCTAATCTTGGTTATACTATTTACTATATATATGACTCTAGGTCACCAATGGAATCCCTCTGGGACTCAATCTCAAATCTATACAAATCTAATACAATAAGCCTTACATGGGATAGCTATGAGGTCTGAGGGAAATAATGTATTTGATGGAGTAGATTAAGCCAGAAGCAGAGTTTTGAGGGAGCAGAAGGCCAATTTGGACCGAGGAGCTGTGTTAGGACAGTTTTCTTGTCTTTCTAAGACTACGTACTACTTTTCGTTTCATATTTCCATTCAAACAAAGGAGACACAAAACGCAAGTCCCCAAGGGGAGGATTGAGCTAGTAATTTGGTGGTTGGCAGCCAAAATACTATAGGATTAGCCAAAGCTTCCTAGGTTTAGAACAGGGCTCACTGAAAATTCTGGTATTTTTGAGGTTCCATAAAATAAATGCTGTGATAATTCAGAGGGAGAGGATAGCATTTAAACTATGGGCCTAGACAAGAGTCAGTAACAGTCTGAAGTCTAAGGGCCAGAAGATCCACACAAGTGTTATACACTATAAATATATTCCTCTTTTCAAAGTAAAGGTAAAATGAAATTGTGCTCTTATCTTAGAACAACAAAGTTCTTTTTTATTTAAACAAGTTTTAAAATTTTTTTATTTAAACAAGTTCTTTTTTATTTAAGCTACAAAACTGTATTGGCACTCTTCACCACAAGATGTCACTATTCCCCAAGAGCAACATGACAAAGGGCTTTTAACTTTTATGATCAGTATCTTACCTTAATATCTTTTAGAGATACAAACTTCTCGATACCTAATTCAATCATATCCAGCACATGGTAGTCATACATACGACCTAGAAAGAAAATACATTTTCTTTTAAGCATTTATTTTTCTCAAACAGCCGCCTTATATGTACCCATTTATTGGCATGTTCAAAATGTTTCAATATCTGCCTCTTTTCTTTCTCCTTATACCCTCCAAACATGTCCTCCCTTTCTTAAGTTTTCAACCCTACCTAGAAGAGATTGTTGTGATCTTGGCCCTGGAAAGGATGTTAGAGATCACTAGCCAAACTCTCTTCTTTTACAGAAGAGTAAATGAAGCCCCACAGAGGGTAAAGGGCTTGCCTAAGCTAATGAGCATGTCAGACCAAGTCTCAATACACCCAGGCAAGGATTCTTTCTCAAATTTATTCATTAAACAGATATTTACAGGAAAGAGTTAAGTTATGTGGGTAGGTATGCCACTTTGTTTTTTTCTAACTCTAATACTGATTCAGGATATATATGTTTTATATTAGAAAAATATCTACAACTTGAGGTAGGGCAATCTTTACATGCCCATTTTTTATCTGCAGAGTGGTAGACAAAAAATTTTATTCAAACTCACAAGGGCAAAAAAAACTAGCTTAGAGCTTACTGGTTATTCCTGAATCCTCAAGACCATCAATTAATCTGAGTCACAGAGCTGACTCTATAAATCAAAGTATTAAAACATAAATGATACTTACCTATTACTAGATTATTTGGCCGCTTCTTATTATGGGAGCCAAACATGAATAAAGAACAGTCTGACTTCTTTGAAAAGAATTCCTGTAAAACCAAAGAAATTCCATCCAATCAATGCATAAATATATGAACCTTAGGAATTATACCTCTGAACTAAAAAAAAAAGTATATCAGTGTTTTTCACTGGAAGTTAATGAAGACTTAACGAACCAGATAGGAATAAACAGAGGAAAAGGACTTTATTTCCAACTTTTTACTTCAAGTTTTCTGATTTGGGGTACCTACAAAAAAGATGTAAGTTCAAGACTAAAAATATGTGAAAACTATTAGGTTAATAAATAAAATGAGACCATTTATTTTCAGCTGTGCAGTTATTCTGGAATTGTACAATAACTACTTCATTTGCTGAACAAATGCCTTTACTCATGGGACATCACTGATATCATCAATGGCACATCTTAGTATGCATTTAAAACACACATGAATACACAGGAGACCTACACGAATTAATCAAAATGGTGTTTTTGGATGTTTATAATTGGACTCATGAATTTACAATGCATATAGCAACTTTTCATTGCAAACCTCATACACGCAGCAATCTTGCCCTAGAAGCTCCATGCCACCCCAGCTGTGACTAGTTCCATGTTGCATAGCCAGCAAGGACTGTCTGACAGATCTATGATGTTCCTACTGGTAAGAGATACCTTCTCCATTTGGCTCTCAAAAGTGTTGACTTCCATTACAGATTTGAGAGAAGTGGAAATACAGTTATGGAAGTTCCAATTCTAGACGGCTCATGTTAATCTGAGGCCTGCACTCTCTACATCTCACATACTTTGATTCAGTTTATTGAGATTCCCAATCTCAACACAAAAATTAGAGTCAACACGTTCTAGTCTAGTCCTAGTTGGAAAAGCTTCGTAAACTAATAACAAAAAATTAAACAACAGATGAAACAACCATAATCCTCAACTTTTCTTTACTGGTTACAAGAATCCATGAGGTGTGGGCCCCTAGTTTGGTTATCATTCATTCCAGTGTTTAAGCAGAAGCAAATGGGCAAACAACTACCCATTTGCCTAGATGCAGAGACAGAAGATGCAAGAATTCTGGCTTTGCCACTTACTATAGGATGTGGCCAACCTTTCTGAGAATTAGTTTTATCATGTGTAACAGGGACAATAATACCTCCTGCAAAAATCTGCAAGGGCCAGGTGAGATGTCTTTTGTGACAGTACCTTATACCATGTCTGGCACAAAGTAGGTGCTCAAAAAATGTTTTTTAAATGTTCAAGTCAATGAAAATGATTTCTTAAAACTTCTTTTTACATTCTTATGACTAATACCCCAAAGCTTTCCATAAAACTACTTTTCACATACATATAGTACTCATCTGTCATTCTTCTTCAAAGTCTTTTTATTTGTTAAAATTCTAGGATAGTCAAATTATCTGCAAAAGGCCAAAAAGTAACTATTCTAGGCTTTTTATATGCTTTTTAAAAAAACCCTTTAAAAATGTAAAAACCATTTTTAACTCGTGGGCCTCACACAAACAGGGATTTGGCCCACAGGTGTATTTGCCAACTCTTGTTCTCAAGCACAGTTCTAAGACTACAGTGTAAGAACTGTGTGATTGGGGGCGGAGGGTCAGGAGGAGGAACTCAACCACATTTCCAACCACTGCTTCCACAGCCATTTTGAGCTCTAGACGTCTAAGATTTATTAATTTCAAGTGTAGGAAAAGCTGTTATATCAACGCTAGATTATAAAAGACGTACAGAATACTACAGATTTTACAACATAACACTGCTACAAAGTGGTTACTTAACTAAAAGCATCATGGTGCCACAAAACAAAACCAGTCCTCAATAAGTGATATATGGAAGAGCTAGAATTCTGGGTGAAGCCCTGTATTTTTACTTTCATGCTCTTCAACAAAGGACTGTGAAAAACTCAAGATTGCAATGAAAGGAATTTTGTAAAAAACTGAATGCCTACTTTGCCAATATTTTTCTTAATATATTATAATTTTCACTGCAGTTAGTTGCCACATTAGGATAAGATGTTCAATTTTAGTCTTCTAATTAATTACTGAGATTCTATTCAGAAAGTTCTTCTTTAAATTCACTAACTGAAAGAAAAAACAAGTAACGTGCTCCTGTCAAGAGAACATAATCACATTCCGATTTTTTTTAAAGCCAATTTAAACAGTTTAAACCACTTATTCCCTTAAGATTTTCTTTAGAAAGAATATCATCACATAATCCAAGTCCATTCATCATTCACCACTGCCTATATATCACCTTTTATCTTCTGATTTCATTCACTAGCCTTTTTTATTTAGTTTTGGTTGCCAATACACTCAAATAGAAATTTGACTAACTCTAGTAAAGTGACTGACAATTGTTAGCAATAATTCAGGTAGTGTTCCTAGTTCTAAAAATATCTGAAGAAAGAAAAGTCAAAAATTTTTAGTTTTTTGGTGAGGAAGATCAGCCCTGAGCTAACATCCGTCGCCAATCCATCTCTTTTTGCTGAGGAAGACTGGCCCTGGGCTAACATCCGTGCCCATCCTCCTCTACTTTATATGGGACGCCGCCACAGCATGGCTTGACAAGCGGTGCGTAGGTGTGCGCCCGGGATCCAAACCTGTGAACCTCAGGCTGGCCACCAAAGCAAAGCGCGCGCACTTAACCACTACGCCACCAGGCCGGCCCCCGAAAAGTCAAATCTTTAAAATCAAACTTGCTTTATAAAATAGATCCATAACAAGCTTCTTTATGATAATTCATTAATTATGTACTTAAAATGTAATTTAATTTTAAAAATTCTATCAATACAGTATTTGCAAGCAGTGAATATACATACTAGTCATAGTGAAATATAAGATCTACATTCATATTTTTGAAAGTATAAAAGTCTTATTTCCCTCCATTTTACATCACAATTCCCTCACAGGATGATTTCTAATTCAAAAAAATCATAAATTAGGAGTACTGCATGAAGTAGTCTGAATAATCATTTATATGCTCTCTTAAATCTGAAAGATCCTTGTACTTACCAATGATGTCTGATCCTCAAATGGTCTTGTAATATTTTTCCTGAGAATATTAAAAAAAGGTGACCCTAATTTTAATAATCTTAATAAGTAATTCACCCATAATAATTAAGTAATATATTAAGTAAATTGCATATTCAGATGATCAAAAAAAGAAGCCAGAAGGATATTCATTGGTTCAAATATTTATTTAGTGCCTATTATGTGCCAGGCACTGTTCTAGGAGCTAGGGACACTATAACACCATGTCAAACAAGATCTGTACTTTCCTGGAGCTTGCATTCCAGTGAAAAATAAACAGATTCAAAAATAATGGTTGTGACAAAAGTAAAATAGGTCATTTTGTTACTGTGAAGAGTGGAAAATGACTATTTGAGCTGAGACCTGATAAATAAGGAGCTAGCCATGGAAAAGTTTTGAGGGTAAGAGTATTCTAGGAAAAGAGAATAAAATAAGCAAAGATTCTGAGACAGAAACAAGCTCAGACTATTCAAGAAACAGAAAGAAGGCAGGTGTCACTGGGGCTTAGTGAGCTAAGGGATAAAAGTGGGGTATGGGTCAAATACGCAGATACAGCCCAGATTATGTTGTGCCTTGTTGGTCAAGGTACGGAATGTAGATATTAGAAGAGCAACAGGAAGCACTGGAGAGTTTTAGGCAGAACAGTGATATGACTGGATTCTAATTTTCTTTTTAAAGGATTGCTCTGCCTGCTATCTGAGAATGAAATGTGGTGCAGCAAGAGTGAAAGGAGTCACTACGGAGCTGTTGCAGAAACCCAGGAGAGAAAGAAAAAAATGATGGATTGAACCAGGAACAGTAGTAGTGGAGATGGAGAAGCAGTGGGTAGAGAAACGTAGAACATGCTATCTTTCATGCAAAAGGAAGAGAAATAAGAATGTATATTTTTATTTGCTTAAATATGCATAAAGAAATTCTGTATATATAAGAAACTAATGGTGGTGGTTATTCTGGGAAGAATGTGTGTTTATATTCTCACTGTATAATTTCTGATTTTAAATCATTGTAAATAAAGTATCTATAAAATAATTCATCATTTTTAAGAATTTAAAGAAAAAGAGAATCATAAACAACATGATCTCAATTTTGTTTAAAAGAATAAAACAGATGTATAGATATAAAAAATATACTGGGAAAAAATATGTCAAAATATACACAGTGCTTATCTATGAGTGAGTATTTACTGCTTTAAGCACTACCCCAATTATCTAAGATAAATATATATTACTTTTATCAGAAAAGAAAAAGTATTTAAAAAAATTATTACAAGCCAAACAAACCAGGAAAAATTATTGCAACATTTATGATTAATAGCTAACAGCAATTTACAAATAAGCTAACATGACATGTTGGAAACATGAAAAATGCAAGTTAAACAAAATATCATTTTCATTTCTTAATTTAAAAAAATAAACCAAAAGTAGGTAAAGAGTCATTAAACCTGTATATTGCACTTTGCCAAACTTTTCAAAAAGCATTATCGTTAATATCTTATATTAGGCATGAAGCTATACCCAGTAATGGTGGAAACAGAAGGACACCATTAGAACACCACAGTAATCACTGTTATAGACAAGATGCCACCACTTAACAAAATGAAAAATAAAAATCATATGATCACCTCAATAGATACAGAGAAATCATCTGACAAGATACAGGATCCATTTATGATAAAAATTGAATAAAATGAGTATAGGGGCCAGCCAAGTGGCATAGTGGTTAAGTTTGGCATGCTCTGCTTCAGTGGCGTGGGTTCGCGGGTTCGGATCCTGGGCGCAGACCTACACCACTCGTCAAGCCATGCTGTGGCAGTGACCCGCACGCAAAATAGAGGAAAGATTGGCATAGATGTTAGCTCAAGCCCAGTCTTCTTCAAGCAAAAAGAGGAAGATTGGCAACAGATGTTAGCTCAGGGCCAATCTCCCTCACCAAAAAAAATTAAAAATAAACAAATAAATAAATAATGAATATAGAAGGAAAGTACCTCAACATAATAAACGTCATATATGACAAAGCCACAGCTAATATCATACTCAATGGAGAAAAACTGAAAGCTATCCCTTTCAAAACAGGAACCAGACAAGGATGCCCACTTTTACCACTCTTATTTAACATAATGTTGGAAGTCCTAGCCAGAGCAATCAGGCAAGAAAAAGAAACAAAAGGGATCCAAATTGGAAAGGAAGAAGTGAAACTGTCACTATTTGCAGATGACATGATTTTA